CCGCCAACCCGCAAACACTTATTTATTTTTTTTTTTAAATTTTCTTACTTTTTAATATTTTTTTCTTATACAATAGCTAAAAATAATAATAAAATTTTTCTTTTTCTTTGGAATATTTGATTAAAAGTACCAAATAAATTATATAAGTATTTTTTAAAATTTTTTAGATAGAATATAATATATAATAATATAATTATAACAGTTAAAAAAAATTTTTTTTAAAAAGATGCGGGTCAGCCCCCGGGTTGGCAAGTGAACCCTTAACAGGTTGCCTGCTTGACGGTGTGAGTTCAAAAAGCTCGTTTACTGACGGGTTGGTTCTTGGCCAATCCTTACCCGTTATTTTTTGCGGGTTGGACCCGCGAGTCAACCCATATTACATAGAATCATACTTGTGAAATCCTACTACTTCCCACGTGGGGAATTAAATTTTCTAAACAAATAGTAATCTATATATTTGTATCTTGGACAGCTCAAAAGTCATAAAAGCTTTTATTGCAATTTTTACCAACTTCTTCTAAAGAAAAAGTTATGACAGCCCCACAACTCATGAACGTCGATCTTCTTCTTGTTTTTTTTTTTGGGACCAACAGGAACGTTGAATTTGTTTGAATACGAAGCGCCAAATCAAACGTTGCGCAGCCATGCAGTTTTTTTTTTTTTTTTTTGCTATCTCCATGCAGGGTATTTACTCCTCTGCACTTCTAAATGTTAAAAAAAAAATTTAGTGTAATAATTTTTTTAAAATATGATAACTTTTTAACTTTATTTCTGTTTATGTTTTTTTAAAAACAAAAATCATTTACATTATATAAAAATAGGGCATTCATATTTAAACTTCAATGAGATAATTTATAAATAGAATAAAAAAAATATTCTCTTTATTTTATAAATAGAACCAGAGGCAGTATCAATTACAACTTCATTAACTTAAATACAACTAAATTATTAATTGCATTCCGTCTTCAAAAATCTTCTCTATCTTCCCATCAGAGAATTTAATTGCTGCGGATATATTTCCAATGAGGAGTATCTCTTCAACTTCCTGAGCATATGGATGGTCACCTCGGGTGCCGTTTTCTAAGCTCTTTTCCCAGCAAGTCTCTTCATTCCTTCACTCCAACCCATGATTCTATGCGCACCAAACTATAATAATTAAAACTGTAATAATGACTCTATATAAACTTCAACATTCTGAATCTCTCCTCACATCTAGATCGTCGCCTTCAACCTGGTGCCTCTTTTCTGAGAACTTTGGTTTGATTTGAAATAGCGCATGCAAATGGGAAGAGGGAAGTTATCAACTACTTCAACTGCTATCAGCAGAACCACTGTAAATCAAAGACAAGACTCCCTTTCCTTGGTCGTAGATGACCAACCTGAACCTCTCAATGTCATTGTGCCACCCATAATCTCCTCTTACAATGAGAGGATTTGACCAGTTCTTGATGCAGTTGAGAATCTGAGACGCCTCAACATCACCAAGGAAGGTATACAGCTTCCGACCATTGTTGTTGTGGGTGATCAGTCCTCTGGTAAGTCCAGTGTCCTAGAATCTCTCGCAGGAATCAGTTTGCCGCGGGGACAGGGAATCTGCACGAGGGTACCTTTGGTCATGAGGCTCCAGAGCCATCCTCTACCAAAACCAGAGCTTGTGTTGGAGTTTAATGGCAAAGCTATTTCAACAGATGAACAAAACGTCTCTGATGCTATAAACTTGGCCACTAATGAGCTTGCGGGAATTGCAAAGGGGATTTCTAACACACCTTTGACTTTATTGGTGAAGAAGTATGGTGTTCCTGATCTCACCATGGTGGACCTTCCAGGTATAACTAGAGTTCCTGTTCATGGACAACCTGAGAACATTTATGACCAGATTAAAGATATAATCATGGAATATATCAGACCTGAGGAGACTATTATATTGAATGTTCTCTCTGCTACTGTTGATTTTCCGACATGTGAATCCATTCGTATGTCACAGAGTGTTGATAGAACAGGATCAAGAACTCTCGCTGTTGTGACAAAGGCAGACAAGGCACCAGAAGGGCTTCTGGAAAAGGTCACTGCTGATGATGTTAACATAGGACTTGGCTATGTTTGTGTTAGAAATCGAATTAATGACGAGACATATGAAGAAGCTCGAATGGAGGAAGGTTTGCTGTTTGAGAACCATCCACTTCTCTCCAGGATAGACAAATCGATTGTCGGTATTCCGGTTCTGGCTCAGAAGCTTGTTCAGCATCAAGCTTCAATTATTTCAAGAACACTGCCTGAGATTGTTAGAAAGATCAACGTGAAGCTCAATTCTCAGCTTTCTGAGCTGGATAACTTGCCAAAGAACCTGACTTCTGTGGCTGATGCTATGACTGCCTTCATGCATATAGTTGGGCTGGTGAAAGAGTCACTCAGGAAAATTCTTGTCAGAGGAGAATTTGATGAGTACCCAGATGACAAAAACATGCATTGCACTGCTCGTTTGGTCGAGAAGCTCAATGATTACTCAAAAGATCTCTATGAATGTTCTGAAAGCAACCACACAAAGAATTTTCTCATGGAAGAAATAAGGCTACTGGAGGAAGCCAAGTGGATTGGCCTCCCAAATTTCATGCCCCGCACAGCTTTTCTCGCTTTATTGCAGAGCAAAGTGAAAGGAATTGCACTGAGGCCTATTGAGTTCGTTGATGATGTGTGGGATTATCTGGAGAAGGTGCTGATCGACGTCATAACCCGCCATTCAGAAAACTACTACCAGCTTCTGAAGTCAACAACCAGAGCTGGAGAAAATCTGATTGCTAGAATGAGAGAGAATTCAAAGAAGCATGTAATGGAGGCTATTGAAATGGAGAAGCTGACAGATTACACTTGTAATCCAGAGTACATGGCTGAATACACTAGGCTCATGGCTCAGCATGATTCCTTCATGAAACAAGTATTTGACGATGATCTAGTTCCATCTACAGTGATCCTAGAAGGCCTTGGAGAGGTTGAGGTTGGTCATCTGAGACAGTGCAGAAATGTTCTTCAGAATGCATTTGACTTGAAGATGAGGATGGTAGCTTATTGGAAGATTGTGCTGAGGAGGCTGATTGATACCATAGCCCTGCATCTGCAACTCAGTATAAACAATTTACTGAACAGAGAGTTGGAGAAGGAGATCACTTTCGGGTTGATGTCTACGACTGGAGGAATTGAGAGCTTGTTGAAGGAATCACCCTCAATAGCCGGGAAGCGTTCAAAGCTTAACAGAAGTGTTCAGGTTCTGAGGGAAAGTAAGGAAGTTGTAGCAAACATAATGGACCGCATCTCCAGCTGTGGAGATTAGATTTTATATGAACATTGGTTGTTTTGGTTTTTTTTTCTGCTTTTTGAATCCTTGTTTCTGTTTCTGATGTTGTCTCGGTCAGTGTCGGTACTAAGTGTCAACCAAAGCTGATGTTATTCATGATCCTTTCTGCAAGCGTTTTTTTTCCCAGTTCCGTTGAACGTAATAAACTGATGGTTTACGCTTTAGATGCATCTGAAAGCAAACCTTGCCTGGTTTAACTTCTCAGTTTAACTGTTGTGTTTTAGAGCTAACGCTCAACTTTTCCAGGAAAAAAAATGTCGCAAGTTTCAAAATTTTGCAGTGATTCGTCCCGGTGAAACATGTCAAATTAGCTGAATCCAATGACGAATCCGGAATATGAAATAACACATAATTAAGATTAGAGACTTAAATGAAATTATACCCCGAGAAATAAAGCGAAACAATACTGTGTAGAATATTAAATCGTTAGCAGAGGTGAGGCATTTTAATTTATCCATTTTCCTCACAAGTTGTAGCATCATTATACCTGAATTGATTTTGCATGCGTATATCCTGCGTATGACCTGTCCTTCGTTTATATGACAGGCTGGATATTAATACTCATCATATCCTTAATATAAGACCCATTTAACTAATTTAATTAAATTAAAAAAGTTAGGTAAGTTAGTTAATTATAAGAAACGTGACACGTTTTTTTTTAAAATATCATAATTATTTTTCTCAATACCCTCTTTTCCTTTTCTGCTTGATTATGGTTGAGGAAGTATTTATAGAGGTAATTTAGAGAAAACTGACAAATATGAGAAATGCGCCTTATATTTGGACTAAAACCAACTTAACAATTGGATCTTATATTAAGTACCGGAGGAGTAATATATTATCCGAATTCTTTTGAAGACAATGTGCGTCCGATTCAGGCCCAAAAAAAAAAAACCAAAGATGATTTGTGTCCGATTATATATCGCGCGCATTTGTGATCACTGATAGAATTTTTTTTCTTGCCGGAGATAGACAGTACTCCTTCGACACTTAATTAATTTAGAACCTAATTAACTAATTTGAGCAGATTAAAAATACTAGTTAAATTAGTTAATGTGATATTTTTTTTTCCTAAAATACCCTAAATCATCTTTCTTAATTTCCTCCCTTCCTCTTTCCTTTCATTATTGTTGAGAAAATATCAATAAGGTTAATTTAGAAAAAAATTGATAAACTTGTGAAATAGACCTTATATATAGAACCAACATCAATTTTTAAATCAGGTCTTATATTAAAAACCGGAGGATCAGAAGAGTCATTTGATTAGATCTTGTTTAGTCCTTACCATGAAAGGAACCTTTATATTTTTAAAAAGTTTTTATTGATCTCAAAAATACCTTTTTAGATACACAGTATCCCCTTACTTGAACCTTCGTTTCTACTTCTGATGTTGTCTTGGTCAGTGTCAGTACCAGGTGTCCGTGGGAGCTGATGTTATTCGAGTTTTCTCACCCCTTGCTGCAAGCTGTTTCTATTAAATCCGCATGTATCGTCGTACTATGTGATATGTATGATACCTCCTTCGTTTATATGACTGGCTGTTTCTATTATACGAATTCTTCCCATGAAGATAATTTGTGTTTGATCATATCGCGCGGGTTTGCAATAGATAAGTATTCATCTGACAGATCGTCGACAACAGACAATGACAGATATTAAGACTCACTGTAGTGTTGAAGCAAATTATTTGTACTGGCGTTTTTAATTACATGCAATTGAATCAAATGCTTAGAACAGCACTTTACAACTATACAGAATAGTTAATACTAAAGAGCGACCATGAAAAGTGTAAAATTCCTTACATACACCCTCCCCAGTATATGGGGAAATTTCATTCAATAAGAATTACTCACCTTTGTCCTGTGAATAAACTGTCAAAACTCGAGAACTATCAGGATAGAACTAGAATTTGTCTGCTATCTGTTAAAAGAATTTTGGTCATTTCCTCCAAGATCATAAAGGCTCACTCATGTTGTATCATGGTTCTGAGCGTATCCCGTGTAAATCATGGTCGGATGTTAAGGAAGAGCTATTTACAATGGCATCAGTTGAATTTTCTGTTTGGCTTGTGCTCGCACTCTGACTTTCTCTATGCTTTTGAATGTCCCTTAAGGCTCTAAACCTCAAATCTTCACCAGCACTTTGCTCTGGGTTAACCTCAGGAATGCTTATTCTTCCTTCGAGCATGTTCACAACTTCAGACATCGATGGCCTAAGCGATGGTGATGCATTAGTGCAGAGAAGAGCTACTTTCACCATGACTTCAACTTCTTTTGGGTTCACCTCAGATCCCAACCTTTCATCAACCAGTGGTATCATGTTTTCAGTTTTATGCAAATGGCATGCCTGCAATGTGATAATGGCAGGTTTTTGCATCAGATAACAACCAAAACAATAAGAAGTTCATTTCAGGTATTGTTTGTATTATTAAGAAGGGAAAGGAAAGAAAGATTAAGCCCTTTGCAAATACTCCAACTTTAATCACTGAATATTAGTCACCTAAACTCCCCATTAATGTAGATGCTACTTCACACCCTTCCCTTATCCCCATGGCATGCTCTCATTGGTTGACCATACGTGAGATTGGTTAAAAGATTTTTTCTTCTTAAAAGAAAATGCTTTGCGCCTAAATATAATGTCCTAAGCCTCAATCACAAACTTCCTAAATGCTGAAGGATGAAAATCTGATATCTGAAGTTGAAGGCGTTTGCAAATGACATAAGTGTATTTGCATCTTTCTGGCCCAAACCAAACTTTTTCTTCCCTTCTCAATCAAAGTTTAAAATACACTTAGCTAACAAGGATAAGGATTGCAGCTGAGTAGCATACCCAATCCAAAAGACAAACACAATTATCACTTGGCATATAATCGCTGTTGCTTTTCCCACTAATAATTTCCAAGACCACAACTCCGAAACTGTAAACATCCGCCTTGTATGTGAGGTAACCCCATAATGCATATTCTGGTGCCATATATCCTCTGCAAAAGAAACAAAAAAGAGAGATAAATGTTATTTATCAACGGCAACAAAACATGAATTGGAGTTTTATCATCAAACGAGAAGACTAACATAGTCCCAGCCACTCGGGTAGTAATATGGGTCTTTCCTCTTCATTGAGCCTAGCCAATCCAAAGTCAGATATCTTAGGATTTAAATTCCCATCCAATAACACATTAGTGGCCTTGATGTCTCGGTGAACAATCTTGAGTACTGATTCTTCATGGAGAAATGCAAGACCTTTTGCTATGCCAATACAGATTTTAAGCCTTGTAGGCCAATCAAGTTTAAGCTGATTTCTTCGGCCTATGAAATGTGCATAAAGAAGTTAGAGTTGATTTAATATAAACCATTTTTGCAAATTAATTATATGTCAAACATATTGAAGAAGCAGAAAAAATAGCATCCAACTTATAACTAGTTAGAGAAAAAGAAGCTAAAAAAGTGTCAAGAGAAATATACTTAGAAATGCTTACTAAATAAAGCACGGGCAAGGTTATTATTTTCCAAGTACTCATAAACCAACAATAGTTGATCCCCTTCAATACAACACCCATGAAGCTTTACAAGATTAGGGTGTTGAAAACAAGATATCATGCCTATCTCATTTAAAAATTCACGATTCCCTTGCCGGGACTTGGAAGAAAGTTGTTTGACTGCTACCCAAGTACCATCAGATAACTGCCCCTGTAATCCGATTTCCAAGTGTTATATTTACAACAAAAATGTCAATGTTTTGAAGAAATTGGAGAAATTTTCTTTTGCTTTAGGATAAATACCTTATAGACAGGACCAAAACCGCCTTCCCCTAACTTGTTATCAGGACTGAAGTCGTCAGTGGCATCTCTTATCTGTTTCAGGCTATATGTTCCCATATGGGAATCTAGCCCTTCGGCACCTGTTTAATAAGTCAAGTGTCAAAGAAGTTCTCAAAGGAATAATTACTTTCCTAAGTAGTAGCTTAGCTTATCTCAAAAGAAAGGTTCACCATGTACCCTTAATTATATAGAACATTGGCACCTAGGGCTGCAAATATTCATTTCAAAATTAGGATCAGATTGAACTAATTAACCACCTCTTAAAAGTTACTAATTAACCGCCTTTTAAAGTTATTTGGTCTTTATAAGCAATGCTTTGTACCGATTGTTCTTTTTTTAATAATTTTCCCTCAATCATACTTCCTCGTTGGTCTGAAAGTGATTACACAAGCCACTGAAAATTACAAGCAAACGGGAATTTAAACTCTTCAAAATATTTTATCCTTTCTTCCTCACTCACAGCGACTTGAATTATGGATTTCAGAATGACATGATTGTGTTTACCTTTTTTCCTCCCAGATTTTCCTCTGAAGTGGCCTCTCCACCAAAAGAGTCCCACTGTAAATAGTATTAAGAAGAAAGCCCCAACTCCAACTGCAACTCCAATTGTCATATTAGCACTTCCACTTTTTCGGACATCTGAGCAACGTTTAGACTCTGCCAAAGAAAAAAACGGATGATCATTCCCTCTAAATTTCATAGCAATAAATGAGAATGTTGTCAAAACACAATTATAACAAAATGCAACTTCAACTATTTAAAATTCTAGAAAGAGGGAAGAATCCATTTTTAGGCCCTTAGTAACATTATTAAGGAACACTTGGTAAGTCTAAGGCATATCATGAGACAACACTTCCATTCCAAGGCACAAAAGTCAACATTCAGTGCAGCAATTAGCTTGTGAGATTACTTTTCAACAGAAAGCCAACATTAAAAAACGAAAGCCCTTGGATAAAAAACAATATGGAAGTGTGATGCATGGTCTAAATAGTTGATACTGCCTTGGTATCAAATGCACGCTGAAAATCATCCTTGAGAATAACAATAAAAGGGTAGAAACATATAACTCACCAGAAACAATAGATAAAGCTGATACCAGGGGACCATAAACTCCACTGCTAGGAATTCTTGTAGTCCCTTTGCCAGCCCAATAGAATCGAACATCCAAGACATTATCTGTTACATGAACATTATATACTGGTATCTTAATTGGCTTTCGAGCCATATGCGCTTCATCTTCAATATTGAAATCCTTACGAACTAATCTTCCCTGCATGAAAGAACAATCTCAATTCCTGATATGAACAAACGCAAAATAATTTCTCTAGTTTGACTGACCGATACCTGAACATAGATATCAAATATGCGCCTTCCAAGACTATTATATGTCTTATCATTTGTAAATTGTATCTCTGCAAAATGCAGGTTTACAGTATAGTTGCCATTTTCCAAGCAATAGTGAAAATAAGTTAGCGAAATTGGGCAGATACGAGCTGTTGCATATATATTAGGCACATCTGAGGATTCCAGAAATACAGTGTAACGTGTATTCAGGAAGTCATTGTCATCCATGAAGTCCCCAGTGCTGCTGAAACCCCAGTAACTGCTGGAATCATAATAAAATTTTGCTGTACCGCCTGACAAATCTCCATCTCCCGCGTAGAGAAAATGTTCTTTATTTTCTTTCACAGTTACATCCTTTCCCCCACTATTAACATGCAAACAAGTTGAATCTGGAAAAGAGGAAAAATATAAAGTTAGCCAAAATATCACAAAAATAAGCAGTTGTGCTCTCAACAAGCAACTTCAAAGATAATTATCACTTGCCATATTCATTGTCATTTGAGTTTTGGAATAATTCATACAGACACAAAGACACATATAGTATAGCCTACCTTTGTTCTACCAATAAATATATGTAATTTTATAGTAAGTCTTATAGCATAAATTCAACTCATTACATTATTACCAAAAAGAAAAATCAACTCATTGTAGTCATGTCAATTTTACATATAACCAATTTGCACTGAGTTCGACTTTTCATATTCATTATGGTGTATCATCAAAACATCAAACCAAGACATGCCAAATCATTAAAATTTTGATTGAAAACTCTAACTTCATTGTTCGGAAAAAAGTTATAGATAAAAGGAACAAAATGCCACTGGCCGTTTGGCCGCGTGTTGGGTGCGTGTGTTGCGGGTTCGATCCCACCCTGCTGTAATCCAAAAAAAAAAAAAAAAAGGAACAAAATCGTAAAACAGGTGCTACCAACATGAGAAAGGGGAGAAGGAAATGAAAATAAATGATTCAGAAAAAAGAAGAAGAACACCATGGAAACCTTGCTGTAAGCTACGATATGAGATGTAGATAGATACAAGCAGACACACACATATGCAGAAACTTTTAATCATGACCAATTTATGGCATTCAAAGCCATAGTATTTCAATGTTCGCTGACAACCCCATTTGCAAATTAACCTAATATTTGAAGCTTCAATCCCTGAGACCTATATAGTCACCCAGAGCATATCAGTATTTCAAATATGGAAGATTATTACATACATCTTGGGCAACTGAAATTCTTCGTGCATGGCAGAGCTCTCCTTCTGTCATAAACAATGAGTGAGAACAAAATCACTGGAACTCCATCTTTTCATCATAGTTTACAAGTAAACTTCCGAAAACAAAAAGGAGATTAAAAGTTAGATGCTTACAAATCATTGGGCCCTGAGGAGCTCTGAAACAAATTTAGGTTTAAATTCCTAACAATAAAAACAAGAAAGGTTTACAAAAATACCAAATTTGAGGACATATATATAAATATATATAACCACTAATGCAAAGGCTTTCACGTTCTTACAGGTTATCTCGACAAGCAGATTGCTCAGGACTTGGTGTAAAATTGTTGTAAGAAAGATCACTGCAGCCAAGAATTGAAAAGCAATGCCATCAGCCTTCCAATATTAATACTAAAAGTATAACATCCGAGATATCATCATACTGTTCAATTTGTGTAAAATCCATGACACATTTTAGAGTACCTCAATTCCTTTTCTAGGTGGTTCTTCTTCTTATACCAGCATTTGATCTCAGGACCCCTATATCACACTTTGAAGGGCTCTCCACTGAGACCAAACATGCTAGTAAAACCCATCACACATTATGTTAAATAATTTGAAACTAGCACACCTATAGGAGTTCCATGTGAAAACAGCATGTGATATTCATGAGCTGGAAACATTGTTTAGAAGATAAAACACCTAAACATGACTTATTTCTTTGCCAAAAGCTCCTCCTTGTCGAGTGTGTTATCAGAAAGTTTTCTAAAAGCCACTGATGTATCGAACAGAACTTTAATGATTTAGAGATATTACTCTTCTAAATAAATGCATGCACAAATTTTGTTTCTTGAATTGTCAAATGGTGCAATCTAGTCACTTTGTTTCTGGAATAATGGCCGGAGATTATACATTTGACAAGTCATTATCTATATAATTAAGAGGTAAACTTTTCATAATACATACAGCAGAAGTTGGCAAATATATAATTAATGAATTTAAACTATGAAAGGAGACATACTCATAAATCATAATGTTATTAGGTATTGACAAAAGTACAAGGATGGATTTTGTGTTATTCTTCACGTGACCAGAAGTTACATTAAGAATTTGTGAAATTCCAGTCAGCAGTTATAATAAGTATGAGATAATTACAATAATTGTAAAAATCTTATATTACGTGGTTAGCTGACCACCCTACCCTGGTGGTTAAGATATCCAAAGAGAGTAAGGTATAATTTCAGAGTAATGGCAGGTGACAAACACCCAATTACTATGTCAGAATATGATGTGAATTATACGAGGTTCAAGTGCTTGATCTCATCCTCACAAATAACATTGCCATACTTTCTATGTTGAAACTTTGAAACTGTTTAACAGGAAGCAGCATAGAATACCATCTTGAATAAAATTTAATACTTGAGAGCCATCTTGCATTTACATTAGAAAGAAGTATAGTAAGGTAACAAAGATATCATTAACAGGTGTAAATGGAATTAATATTCCCGAACAGGTATCCATCATAGGTGTGAATGATGATTACCTATTTCACTTTCCTATTTAAGAATATCCAAACGAGATGAACCAATCATTTCAAGGTTTATAGACAATAAGCAGTGCGAATAAATTGTCAACAAATAATCGTCATGGTTGCCAATATGGCAAAGGAAAAAGCAGATAATCATCAAGTACAAATGAATTTAAACTGTAATCTCCCATGTCCAACTGATGGAAAGTATATCATCTTAAATATACTTGAATGCACAGTGAAAGATCCATTACATATGTAAAAGAAAGATGAAATAAAATAAATCGACTCCAAGATAAGATACATACACGTTGCTTCCAGCCTTCAAGATTGAGTCTGGTATATTTCCACTTAGCATATTGCCCGTCAGAAAGCTGATAAAAAAGGTACAAAACGTTAACTATGTGTATTTTCAACAGTTCATTGAATAAGAAATCAGCCAATCAGGGCATACTTTGTAATGGGCATGCTGAAGTAGATGGTGTTGAGAAAATTCTTGGGTTACATATAAATACCACCTAACTGTGCAAGTAACAAATAAAAACTCACAAAAAGCAAGTATTTCAGGGGTTGGGATCCTCTGACCCACCTCTTTTTACTGCGTTTCTATTGCATTTGTTAGGATATTAGAAGATTTATTCATTAGTGTGCAGATATTGTAATTTATAGTATAATCATAGGTACAAGGTATATTTCTGACATTATGAGCCATTAAAGCCTAGATTCCTCCTCTCTCTTGTATGTAAATCGCCTTCCTCAGGCAAATTTCATAGTGATTAGTAAGGCAATTTGGCAAAGTTGTTTGTTAAAAAAGTCTAGACAGTTATCGAAATAGGAAGCTGCAAAGGACTAGTTAGAAAGCATTAAACAACAAATATTGGGATGGTCTAAATACAGAAAATGTCAATGACAACTTGAACAGATATATTAAAAAGTATGCTAATATAGACACATAATTTTAGATAATTTGATTGATTTATTTTAAATAAACTAGATCTAATCAATAAAAAATACTGTTGGCAAAAACAATTAATAAAAAATACTGCTTAAAATTGCATTTGAGATTTCCAACACAAACTGTTTTAGTTAATATTTCATTTCCATGCAGGGCCTCGAATAAATGCTAGATTCCCAAAAAATGGAGGTTTCCCCATCATGGTCAGAAGATTTATCGCATCATTATCTTTGGCGGGGTACTTGTTATGAAAACCAACCATATATTTCATAACAGTAAGAAGAAATCATAAAAGCAGCAGGAGACATGCAAATTTCTTTTCTTGTTATCAGAGAAATCAGAGGCCCGGTTCAAATGAAAAGTTTGGCACAGTTTTCAAACTCGGTATTGGCCCATCAATGGATCAGAGGAACTCCAATTAAGTAAAGAACAGGCCGACAGTGAAAATGATCAATGGCAATTTAACAGGTACAAAACAATCCTCATTCATACGGTGAAAACTTCAAAATTTCAGGGAGACGAGGAGCAGCTGCCCTTACTTAAATCTTAGCTTTGGTGACAAAATTTCTACTCATGAGTATTATTAGAGCAATGATTCAGACCCTTCAGTATATCCATAGCACCACATGTAAGCAAGTGATTATATCGATTGAGAGAGAAGTCACTAATCTTTAATGCCATGCACATAGACTTCCGGGCAAAATACTTACACGAATTTAAGATGCTTTGCATTGACAGTTGTTGCAATTTCCCCAACTAACTTATTAAAACTGAGATCCCTGCAAGAGTTGAAATGATAAATTAAAGTTCCAATAATGGAAAAAATTCAGAATTAATGGTATGTGAATATTTTACTAATTTTCTTCTATCGAGAATCGGCATTAATGCATGCAGTATTTGGTGTGGCATTCTGGAACCAAATAATAGAAGTCTAAAAAATGACAGAAACAGAAAAAAAATTCTTTTACTAGATTAAGATTTGCATGATTCTGCTTCCTTTGTCTTACAAGAAATAAGATGCTAAATAATATCTTTTGACAGTTGCCTTTGTTCTCTTTTCACATTCCTTATTTCTCTCCTGTATCTTATTTTTTCTAATTTTTTTGAAAAATATAACCTATTTATTTATGCATTCATGTGCCCCTCCCTTTATACATTACAATTAACTTGAAAATATAAAGTACTCCATATGACAGTCTGACAGTCTTGAAATCACTAGTCACTACATTTAGCCCAACCAAATTCCATATTTCTGTTTCAACTCTGATGATATGCCTAGTAAAATCATGGAATCAAATTGATTGCTTGGTTAAATTTTCAACACAAACATAGGATGAAAGGAATGGTGTTTTTGCATTAGTATTTGCTCCATTGACCAGAACTTTGAAACCTTAGGTACATAAGATTCAGACGCTTTACTCACAGCATTTCCAAGTCCTGCATCGTCCAGATGTAGGCAGGCAGCTCCCCAGTAATATTGCAATTTCTTAAAACCCTAAATTAAAAATCTGAATCACTTTAAATTGAACATTGTTAAAAGCAAAAAATCTATGATCTCAAAAGCTTTGCCCAAAACATACAATTTTATCAGTGCTGTCGTGTTGCTTAGGGAAGGAAACTCCTGACTTGGACCACCTATATCACTAATTCTCCTGTGCAAATTAAAATGTGCCATCATGAGCAAATTAGCAATATAATGAACTAGAAATAAAGAAAAACGTTGGGGGGGGGGGGGGGGAAACAAAAGGAGGCTCTTTACTCACAGTTGAAGTAAATTACTTAGAAGAGATATGGTTGATGGGATAGGTCCTTCCAGTCCACTTCCGTGCATTTCTCTTGAATGAGGTAAAATGGGATAAGAAAATAAAGGAGGAAATAAGCCTAGTGCTGGATTATCTATTTGTCAAGAATTAAACCACACAAAAATAATCAAGGAAAAAGAAATTCAAACTCACAGTCGTTGAAGTAGTTTCCAATTCTGGATGAAATTAGGAATTGTTCCTCTGAAATTGTTATCATTTATCCTACTGCAATGCACCACAATATTATATTCATCAGAAAACTATCATTATTTATTTCCTAAGAAACACACTGAAAACAATAAACAAGAGCATACAAATCTGTCAAGTTCTTTAATTGAGCAAATGTTACTGGTAAATGTCCTGAAAGTTTATTGGATGACAGAATCCTGAAGCAAGTTGCCAATATAATCCATCAGAATAGAGTGTTTAATCTTCGAAGGTATTCCAACAATAAAACATGAGAATTCCAGAAAAAAGAAGTCAAAAGTGATGCCTTACAATGTCTGCAGGTTAACAAGATTTCCAAGCTCAGAGGGAACAAGACCGGAAAATTGGTTTGATTCAAGGCACCTGATGAGAAATGCGAGAGCAATTACAAAGTATAAAATTCAGAAATTCATGATAATAAAGTAGGATAAACACATTAATGCATTGCAGTTTTCTTCGTTATCTAGCTAGCTGAAAGGGGAAATAATGCACAAAACTCTGAGACCTAGACAATTAAAGCTTTCAGTTATAAGAACAAAATAATGGTACAGTCAGAAAGTTTCATAAACTGAACTTTGATCAACATGAGTTAAGAAAATAAATAAATGAGAAAATCTCAAGCTCAGTAACGCACAGGTATGTTAGAGACGTCATCTTTCCCAGCTCCTTAGGAATTTCCCCAGATAAACGATTCACAAGAAGAGAGCTGCATGATATGTCACAGACATGAAGTTCGGTTAAAAGAAAAGAAAAGCAACTGAGTAAAATTTACAACAGTAGATAAGAACCTACATTGAAGATAAATTCATTGAAGTCCATTCCTTAGGGATTGTACCATTTAGGTAATTGAGAGCAAAATCACTACAATGACAGAAAAATACATGTCTCAAAAAAGGGGCTATAATAAAGTATTGACACTACCAGATATCCAGCCATTCAAATCAAAACTAAAATAATTCTTAGTGGAAAAAGTATAGGAAGTAAATTTGAATAGTAAGCAAGCAGTTAAGCATTTTTCATGGAGCTCATACACTTCTTTAAGGTAAGGAAGCTTGACCAATTGAGGTGGAAGCACACCAGGAAGGCTGTACCCCTTGAGCGAACTAAAATATGAAAAATCAAACAAAAAATATTATCACCAGACAAATCTTCAAAATTCAAGGTCCATAATATTGCCACAAAAATCAATACGGTAATTAATTATTTAAATGATCAATCAGAAACGCATAAAACAATGAATCAAGTACTTAGAAGTTAGAAAAGCTGAGGACAAGATAAAGGAACTTTACATGCTCACAACATGACAGTTAGTGCCATTTTCCGAAAAACATTTACAACCAATGCTGCTCTGTGATCCACTGGGTGACACTGGTGTCAACCCCACCATTTCAATTTGACAAGAGTTTCCATCAAACTTCCAGTAGGTTGCACCCATTGTACTAATAATTTCTTGAAGAGCATCAACTGGATGACATTTAAGGTGGTATAAGCATGACATAAAGTTCTATGGCACGAGAAAATAAAACAATTACAGGTAACGTGAGGATTAAATCAAAATTGACATACCCAAATTATGAAATCAGCCTCAGGCATTAGATTTACAGCTAATATTACCAGATAGAGCTATATTTTCACATATTCAATATCAGTCCCACTTCACATATACAATAAATTCGAAAGACTCACCAGTTTCAACATTGGCACATTAATACAGATCAAGCTTAATGTATTTAAGATACATAAACATGAAGTAGTCAAACAAAGTAAATTAATAGAAAAATAGGAACCAAGTCTGCAATTTTACTGCACATTGAAAAGTTTAGAGTCACATTTCTAGGCTGGTAAACAATTTTGAATTAAGGAAGAAGTATGTTGCAACAAAAAATGAGGTGATATGACATAGTAAGCTTTCAACCTAACCCTGAAGGTAAAGAGAAGACCAGAATATCACTACCCAGATGATGACCTACAAGATACCGTAACTCTCAAAGAGGATGCTTCAGCCCAAAAATTTACGCGACACACAGAACAATGCAAGCAAAATCTAAAATATAAAAAAATCGGTAAGTCATTTATTAATATAATTTAAACAGAACAAACAACTCTCAATATTATGCAAAACCCAGACTAATAACTCTGGAGAGCAATCAGCTTCAGAACCAAGATTTTAAGGTATGCCTAAATATGAGATTACGAGCAAGTATTTACAATACAAGAACAAGATCAAACTTTTAAGGGTAACATAAAGCTTAGTAAGATGTTGGAGACAAAGGCAGAAAGGAACCAAAGTGAAATCTCAGCTCAATATACCAAATAGCGAGTCCCAACATTCAACATTAACCAGATGGAACCGAAACTACAACGTTTCAAAATTTTCCTCTTCTACCACACTTTCTCAACAACTAAGGCTTACCTTCTTCATGGGCAGCTTTGATTCTGCATATCTAAGCCATCTGAAAGAACTCAACGCAATAATTAGGAAAGCAAAGAAGTTCCTTGCCAGCATGCTGAAATACTCAGCCTACAGAATATTGCTTCGTGCAGTTACAAGCAGCAAACACCATATATGAAAGGCTAGTTGTTTTCTGCAAAGTTGGTATCTTTTGGATTATGAGCTAAGAGAATGTGAAAACCCAGATGAGAAAGATAATAGACATGCACGTATTGATTTTTAATTTATCGATGCCAATCGAAGAAAGTGAAATTTCGAGTCTTGACCATGGAAACGTCAAATTGAGTACGCAGTAGAGAGAATGTAAAGCAAAGCTGGCTTGCAAAAACCGCTACTGTTATTTATTATATCATTTCTATACTATATAAATGATGGTGTAACAGGATTCAATGGGAATCTGAATTTGAAGATTTTATTACAAGTAGAATTTTCGAAGTGCTAAAAATTCAATGAAAAACTCAAAACAGTGTGACATTTGCTGACAAAGCCCATAGCGAAGCTAAATGGAGTTTTCCATTGCATTTGGCGCAATCTGTATCTGTGTGGCTTCAGGGTTGTGGCGTGGGCCCCTTGTTCTTTGACTATTTTTCGGCCACCTTCTTTGACGTATGCAATCCGAATTCTCCAGCATTTAAGAAACCTTCATGAAGGTATAGAATGAGAAATATAATTGATACTAATGAGACTCAACGTGTAAATTTAATATTCAGATTTTGTTTGGTAAAAACTGGGTTAAGCAAAGAAAATCATTTTTACGACGCAAATATTTATTTTCATCTCACTATTAAAATTAATCAAATAAAAAGTACTATTAAAAGTAAAAATGTGTATTAGTATTACTAAAAAATGTATATTTAATCTTTTAATGTTACATAAAATTTCATTTTCAACCTTTAATTGTTAGTTATGTTTGTAATCGTGACTCTGGTAAATATCTTCTATCCGGGTGGGGACATCCTTTTGTACTTGTTCATGGTGAGCGATATACTACCCGTTCTTAATATAATATCTTATTGGACTTTTATTTTTGTCTTAAATATAAGATTTCAATCCACTTCGTTTCTCATGTTTATTCATTTTTTTCAAGATAGTCTTTATAATAATGGTAGTTCTAACCAATAAACTTGATTGCAGGGATATTTTAGGAAGGACAATACTTATTTATTACAAAGAACTAATTTAACTTATTTCCCTAATCTACTCAAATCAGTCAACTAGCTTTTATATTTAGGACCAGAGGTAGTATAGTTTACTCAAAATAAAAATTTACTGTCATAATTTGTTTCTCAAATTTATAATATTTTTTTAAAATATTCATATTGATTGACAAGAATTTTCATCAAAAGTATATGATTAAATATAATAATTTAAAAAAGATTAATATATATATTTGTTATAGATAATTAACTTAACTAATTTCTTTAATTTCTCTAAATTAGTTATCTAACTTTTATATTAAAGACTAAAAGTAGTAGAATGAACCAAAAATTAAAAATAATTTTATGGAGTCAAAACATGTATTACGATTATGAATTGAACATACCAAATATAGTTATCTTCTGATAATTTAAACAAACCTCCTATTTTCCTTTGTCTAAAATGCAATAACAAAATTTTAAAACACAAATTAATTTTGATTATAATTTTAATATATAGGTCAAATCGATTCGTTAGGCCGATTTCGTGAAGGCTTTCGAGTTGCCGTAAGAGCATGGGTCATTCAAACGTAAAAAGCTTTTCATCTGTGTTTTGATTGAATTACTTTTTATTATATGTGTAATACTCGAATGGTGTGCTCAATTATCCAAAAAAGAAAACAATATCTCCAGCTTGGCCAATGGGTTTGTAATTTAGTGATATGAATATTCTCGAATTAAATCGGAAGCCGTAGTTTTGATCTCGTCAGCAACTTTATGTAATTAGTTTTTTTTTTTTGTGGAAATTTTATGTCATTATTGTCACCTCTTTAATTTGACAAAAATATCTCCAGCAACAATAATTAATTTGATACATCAATCCATTTTATCGGCCAAATTTATAATTTTATATCTAATTTATTCATATTAATAACGTCAATCCATTTTATAAATGATTAACTTAATTAATGTTTTAAACTATGCAAATTAATTTATTCCCTTCAGTCTTTATTATAAGGACTTTTTAATATGTTTCATATTGTCCAGAATATTATTTTCCCCCTTAAAATAATGCATATAATTTTCCCTGTTTATATAAGGTTAATAAGTTGATCTGTACAAAATTAAATGTCAAAACTCACACACTAAAAATAATAAAATTATTTAAGAAATAGATAATTACCAATCAGTCAACATGTCTTACCCACGGGGTTGTTGATTTGACTATGATCAGTATTAATGTTGAAAATTCTAGCGGTTGTCCCAATTAGTTGACAAATTGAAGACAAGTTTAACTAAATAACTGGCTTTAGATTAGGAAGCTGTCAACAATTTGATGTTTTGCGAATTCATGTAAACAATTTGAATCAAATCCTTGCATGGATATTTTTAAATAATATTTTCAATGGAGCAAAGTAATAATTGTAATATAAATTGGGACATCAAATTGTAATATCGATATTTATTATAAGTAGGAAGACGATTTTGCATTGTATTATAACCTAACTAATTAAGCTTTATTGTTTAAATACTTTTTGCTGTAAGATTTGACTACTGAGCACAACAATCAATTTGTACAAGGAAGATGGAAGCCGACAGAGATTGTATATAATAATTTATTAATAAACTCACTTATCTTTCTTAATTTTCACATTCAACTTGAACATTATTTTGATTATGTGCACAAAATTCATTCTTTGATTTCTTTTTTTATTTTTTTTATCTATCTCTCATTTTGCCAATAGTTTATAAACAAAATTTCGAGGCCACTATCTTTTTTGGGGGGGGGGGAGAAAGTAATCGTAAAAGTGAGAAAGGATTTTGCACATGTTATATATATTTTCTTTTGAGAAAAAGACAGAAAAATACTATCTTAACTTTATAATGACCAGAACATCCGCTAAATTTGCAAAATGTCATTTTGGTCACATGAGACCAAATTGGCATTATTATATCAAATGAAAAGACCAAATTAACCTTCCTTTTAAATATTGTTTTTAAAGTATTACAGCCCCCACTGGCCGGCTGGTCGCTGGAGCTCTAGCAACGGCAGTCACCGAAGCTTCGTCGGTTGGAAATTTTTTTTTGAAAATTTGTAAAACTTTAGTATAACAGTTAACAACTTTTGTGACGTTATTAACAATTTCAGTATAACAGTTAACAACAGGTTTTCTGAAAAATTCAACAAGTTCCGGCTGACAAAAATAAATTTTTTGGAAATTTTTACAATTTCAGTATAACAATTAACAACTTTTGTAACGCTATTAATAACTTCAGTATAGTGGTTAACAAAGGTTTTTCGAAAAATTCAATAATTGGACGCCAGAACTCCGGCGATCAGAAACAATTTTTTGAAAATTTTTACAACTTCAGTATAACAATTAACAACTTTTGTAACGCTATTAACAACTTCAGTATAGCAGTTAATAACAGGTTTTCTGAGAAATTCAATAAGCTCCAGTGTTTGGAAATAATTTTTTTGAAATTTTACAATTTCAGTATAACGATTAACAACTTTTGTAACGTTATTAACAACTTCAGTATAGCAATTAACAACAGGTTTTTTGAGAAATTCAACAATTAGTCGCCGGAGCTCCAGCATTTTTTAAAATTTTTTTACAATTTCAGTATAACAGTTAACAACTTTTGTAATGCTATTAACAACTTTAGTATAGCGATTAACAACAGATTTTTGGAGAAATTCAACAATTGGTCGCCGGAGCTTTGACAGCCAGAAACAATTTTTTTGAAAATTTTTACAACTTCAATATAATGATTAACAACTTTTTAACGCTATTAACAACTTAGTATATAGCGGTTAATAACAAATTTTTAGGAAAATTCAACAATTAGTGGCCAAAGCTCCGGCGAC